AAAAACAGTGAACCAAAAACATGCAAGATCAATCAACTCATTTGGTTTCAAGGGTTTATGGGTCAAGAGACAAAGAGGGTCTCTTTTGTATGGTGGTTTAGTAACAGGGATCTCTCAAGAAAGTGGCTTTGCTTTGGCAGAAGGCTAAGTGTTAGAACCAAAGATGATGCAAGAACAGCAGCTCGAGCCGCCTAATCCTAACTCGATCGAGTTCAACACTTAGAGCTTTTTAGAACAAAATCCTAACTACCCTTTTTGGCATTTCGCCTTTGAAACTGAGGAGCTTTGCTCACTTTTCTTTTAAGAACTTCCTAGGGAGAGGCTTCTTGAGGTAACATCTAGCGGTTTGGGATTTTCTAAACACTTAGGGAACTTTTCTTTCCTTTTTGGACACTTGAGGCTTTGCCTTCTTTTCATTCTACTTAGAACCCTTTTTACTTCCTTTTTTAACTTCCCAAACCTTTACTAGACCCTTTTTAACACTGCCAACTCCCTGGACTAAACTCTTTTTCCTTTGGGTTTTTCCCAACTTTTACCACTTTTCTGGTTTTTACACCCAACTCGATCGAGCTCGAGTTGGCACCCCCAAACTTAGCCTGAAAACAATCCCAAGAGAACTAGACAACTAGAACTACTGCCCCTGCCGGTTTAAACACAACACCTTATGCTAAGCAAAGCCAAGAAAGGTTCTCACATTCGCACAAGAGATAATATGGGGTTTGAAATGAAAAGGCTTAGGTTTAAGGTGTGGTAACTGTCTCAAAGATAGAGATCAGCTATCTGGACAAGCAAAAGGGATATGAAAATGGTAAAGAATGTCCAGATATGTATGTGGTAGCCATGAGTTGAAATCAAATGCAAGCATTGGTAATTAAAGATCAAGTTATGGTTCAAATAGATAGGGAAATGCATCAAATCACAGCAATGGTTGAATGAGATGTGCATGCAGCGATATGATCAAGATAAACATGGTTCTTGCTGCTCAATCAATCTCACCCTAATGCACAAAAGAATCTAAAAACAGGGCACTCAAGAAATCGCAAAAGATGGACAAGTTTTCAAAGTCAAATCAACAATGCAAGTGAAAAATGCAATCCTAAACAAGTCTAACAAATATGAATGCAAAAAGATGAAAATATTTTTGGATTTTTTGAAAATTTTATGATTTTTTTGGTTTTTCTATGCAAAAGATAAATGAAAAACTAAGAACAAAGAAAACAAGGTTAAATCATCTCTTGAACCCTCCCCCAAACTTAAATCACACAGTCCCTTGTGTGAGAAAAATTCAGTGAAAGATTCAAGAGGGCAAAACCAAGAAAAAACAAGAACAAAGACAAGAAAATATGAAATGGTATATACAAGGGTTGGTGTTTGGATACCTCAGTGTCCCCCAAAGAACTGGGAGACTAGGTCGTGGTCTGGAGATGGGAGACGGCCATCAGGAGCACTCCATGCAACTGGGGTTGCCTCTTGTGGCTCACTCGATCGAGCTTGCGGCTCCTCTTCCTCCTCTTCTTCATCGTTGAAATGTGTGTGGCTTCCTTGGCCTTGGTGGAGCATTGGTAGCTCGTACTGTCCATAGGGGTTCCATCTACTCCGGGGAGGCTCCTGGTAAGGCATGGGATCGTATTCAAATCCCGGATCTCGAACTGGGGCTCCTCCTGGTCAGCTCGACCGTCAGCTCGATCGAGTTGAGTTTCCTCTGTTTGGACTCGATCGAGTCCGGTGGTCGAGCTGGAGCGTCTGGCCTTGGAAGTCTTCCTCCTTCTCTGCGTGTTGTCTTCTCCTTCCCTTGGCTCGAAAGAAGAGGCTCTGTGAGGCTCTTGGGCAGGGAGCCTCCTTGAGTGGTGAGGAGTGACCTACTCCTAGGGAAAGTGGGGCCTTGGACTTCTTCTTGCTTGAAGAACCAGAAACCTTCTTCTCCAAACTTTTGATCTTGCTCACCATCTTGTCCATGGACTTTTGCATCTTCTCAATGGCTTTCCCTTGCCATTTGTTGAACTTTTGGAGAAGTCCAATCCTCTTGTGGCAGCCACAACAGAGGGGTTCATCCTTGGAGCCTCATACTCCTCAAAGTAATAGCACTCAGGCTCACCCAAATCAGCGTTTCCTCACTCGATCTTCAGCTGACTCAGCTCGATCCTCAGCTCGATCGAGCTCGATCTCTTCTTCTTGCAAATCCGCTTCATGCCCAACCAAAGTGTACACAGGGGGTCTGAAGTCAATGTTGTACCTCCTAGACCGTGGTGAGCTCAGGGTTGGGCAGGAGAAGCTTGGAGAGTCCAGCCGTGGGGTGGGTGAACTTGAATTGGAATCTCCCATCCAACTCCTTGTGCTCAATGAGGAGGTTGGTCTTGCAAAACTTGATGTCCATCCAACCTGGTGGAGTAGACCTTCTCTTGTCCACTTGAACTCCTGCTGCACAAAGAATTGGTGTGATCACCCCTCCAACACTAAGCTTTCTTCCTCTTTGGTGCCTAGTGTTGTAAGCTGTGACCTTGTAGGCTTGGAGCTGCTCAAGGAGAGGCATGAGATTCCCTGCGTGTGCCCTGTCTCCTCTGATCTTCTTCCCATCCTTGTGCGTGAGATGATAGGCTTGATTCCCATGGTAAGGAGCTTCACTTCTCCCTCATTGATTGTTCCAGTGGCTTTCCTTGCAAAGAAGGTGTTTGCAAGAGCCTTGTGGACATATCTAAGCACAGGACTTCTGATCTGGGCAGCCTTGGACCTTGAGGAAGAGTACCCCTCTTCAGCTATTGTAGCCCATACTCTTTGGAGTTCTTCTTCCTTGATGTTCCATAGGTTACCTTCTCCATAGGTGAACCCAAACAGTATCTCAAGCTGCCTAAAGGTCACCATCTTCTTCTCTCCCTTTGCTAGGAAAGTTATGTACCCCCAGCCTCGGTCCAACTCAGCTCGATCGAGCTCATCAAACTCGTGATGCTTCATCGACGCCAAAAACTCACAAGTCAACTCCTTGTAAGACTCCATGCGGTGAGAGAAGAACTTCCCCAATTGCATGTTCTTGAGCACCAACTCCACATCCTCAAAGATACCAAGATCTCTCATGGTGTCATCGTGTGGGTGCTTAGTCTCCACAAAGTCCATGGAGAAGAGAGCATTGTAGTGCTCTTGGTACATGGGGAGCTCATCCTCCTCTTGCTCTTCCTCAGCCTCTTCCATTGGCTCATCTTGGTTCCCCTCTTGGTCATCTTCATCAACCAATTGGTTCACCTCTTCTCCTTCCTCATCACTCTCAGTTTCCTCACTGCCTTCCTCATTTGGAGAGCCATTTCCCCCTCTTGAACAAGGTTCACTCCAATCTCAAACTCCCCTTGCTCACTCTCACTACTTATAGGGTCATTCCTCTTCTTGGTTCTCCTTTCTTCCCTCAGCCTCTCACTCTCAGACTGTTCCTCAGAGTAGACATACTCCTCTGCATCAGATTCTTCCATCCTCTGATCCATCCTCTCCAAATCGGCTTGCATCTTAAGCCTTGTCTCTCTTGCATTGCTTGACTCACCCTCAACCATTCTCCTCTGTGAAGCGCGGCTTCCCTCACTGTTTGTCATCCTTGTTACTCTGTTTCTTCACTAAAGTACCTGAAATGCATCAAAGATTACAAAGAATTAGAGTTGTAATGATCGGTTTGGTCAACTCGACACTCAGCTCGATCGAGTCAAAAAACTCGAGTGACAAACTCGATCGAGTTGGGTGAAAACAGAGTATAACCAAACCTAATTCAAGATTAAGAGCTGGAAAAGATGCTAATCAATCAAATTGAACCAAGAACAACTAGTAAATGGAACAATGAGCAACTAGTGAAAACTAAGCATCTTAACCAAACCAAACTCAAATTCAATTTCAAGCACATGCAACAAGTTTAAAGGCAAAACAGAGGTGAGGTGAAACAAACTAACAAGATTATACAGCAGAGGCGAAATATGAGGGCAATTACTCAAGAACAAGTCCACAAGGGACACATGCAATCAAAAATCAAAGGAAACAAGCAATAGTTGAAATCGAGATGGATGAATGAAGGGTTTTAGGGTTCATACCTTGTTGAATGAGGAATTGAAGAGCAGTAAACAAAACCCAAGCAAAACAATGAAGAACAAGAGAAATCGCAAAAACTTAAGAGAGAAAGATTGAAATTCGAAATTTCTTGTGGTGAAGAGAGAGATGGATGAGTTTCAGAAATTTTAAGATTGTGGGAGAGAGAGAGTGGATTCGATCGAGTTATGGGGAAGAGGGGTGTTTGAGATGTGTGGTTGAGATTAAAAGATGAAATAAAGAGGGAACAAGAAACTAGGGATTCTCTGATCAAATTAGGGTAGTGGGGGACCAAAATCAGCTTGTGGGACCCACTCCCTTGACCAAGAAAACGGTTATGAATTTGAAATTCAAAAACTTACCTCGGTCGAGTTGTGTAGCTCGATCGAGTTGCCCTGGTTTCTAGCTCGATCGAGCTATCGGTCGAGCTGGCTCCTTGACACCTAAACTTAACTTATTCAAAGGTTAAAAACATAAAGATAGATAGAAATTGCATAAATAGAGTATGTACAAGGATAAACATGGGACTTCCTCCCAAGTGAGCTTGTTTAAGGTCCCATAGCTTGACCTTTACCTTCTTAGGCATTGGTTGAGCTAGTCCCACCATCAAGGGTGATAGTGAGGACTTGAGACAGAAGCTCCTTTAGCTTGGTTGGGTCCCTGGACTGTTCTGAAGTCACCAAGGCCTTGGCTCTAGAGAATGGCCTTGATCTCCCCTTGTACCTTATCTTGTACTCAATCTTCCCATTTTCAAACTTGGTGGGGAACAAAGTCATTGTGAGCTGAGATGGCTTGACTGAAGGGGCCTGAGCTGGTGGATCCTTTCTTTTATCTCCTGGTCTTGCCTTAGAGGCTGCATCCTCCCCTTCTTTAGAGCCCTTCCTAGTGGCTCATCAAACAAAGCTTGAAGGCTCTCTTCATCAAGCACACAAGGGGCTTGAACAAGTCTCTCAGCTCTTGGCCTATCAGATCGTGGTTTCTCAACTCTAGCCCTCTCAAGACGTGGCTTCTCAATCCTTGGTCCTCTCTCATCCTTATCCTTCCCAACTCTTGGTTCCTTGTCAACCCTTTCCTTCACAACCTTTGTAGCTCCATGACTCTTAGAACTGAGATTGGTACTGTCAATTGTGGCACAAAAGTCTGAACCTCTAGGCTGCAAGCGATATGACACCAAACTATTCACCTTGTGAAGGATCACTTCTTGCTTGTGAAAGTCTATTGAAGCGCCAACTGTACTAAGGAAAGGGGTTCCCAATAACAGAGGCAAATCCTTCTCTTCTTCCATTTCCATCACAGTGAGATCAGTTTGGATGATGCATTCTCCAATTTTCAAGTGATAGTTCTTGAACACTCCAAGAGGAGACTTAGAAGTTGCATCTCCAAACATGATTGAAGTAGTAGGGCGCTGCAAGGCTCCAGCTATGCCTAGCTTCTCTGCCATGGAGAGAGAGATCAGATTGATGCTTGCTCCAGAATCCACTAAGGCATTGTCAATCTCAAGATGCCCAAGTGTGCAAGGGAGAGTGAATTTCCCTTGATCCTTGACCTTTGGTAGGAAGGTGGGTGAAGTAAGCAGGTTGAACTGATGAGTAGACTCTTGTAGGACCTCTGAAACTTTATCACTGTTGGCTAGAACATCCTTGACCATTTGCATTTGATCAAATGCCTCACTCATGCTATCCATAGTAGGCAACTCAATTCCAATCCCACTGAGATCTCTTCTGAACTTGTGAATCACTTCCTTGTGACCTTGACTAAGTAGGCGAGACGAGGAAGCGGCAACCGGTTGATAAGGATCAAGCAAAACAGGCTGTCGGACAGAAGAGGTCGGACTCGATCGAGCTAGAGTTGGACTCGATCGAGCTGCCGATCGAGCTTGTCGTGCGAGCTCAACTGGTGAAGTGTGAATGGCCACAGTAGGTGCATGCACTTCTGGTTGATCAATCTGGACTCCAGGAGCCTCAGCAGCAACAATCTCTTCATCATTCAGCAGTAAACAAAAATCTTCAATGACCCTTTCTTGATCCTCTTCTTCAACAAGTCCTTCTTGAGTGAAGATGACCTTGCACTGTTCCTTGGGGTTCTGAATAGCTTTACCAGGTAGTTGTCCTTGCTTTGTAGCAGCAGCAACAGAAGAAGCATGATTCTCCAGAGAGTAAACCCTTGTGTTGAGGTTCTCGATCTTAGAGTTTATTTCAGCTAGCTTCTTGCTTGTGTCCACTACCCCATCAGCTTGCCCTTGAAGTAGTTGCTTTAGCATTGCTTTGAGCTCATTCTCTTGTGAAGGTGCAGGCTGGGGCGGTTGGTGGGGGAAGCCTGGTGGGATATTCATTTGTTGTCCAGGGAAAGTGCCTTGTGGTCCTTGGTAATTGTTCTTTTGACCATACCCATGTTGTGGCACCTGACTCGATCGAGCTGCTTGTTGTTGAGGATATACTTGGTCCTGAGGGTTAGCAACATCAGTGTTGCGGTATGACATGGCAGGGTTGGACTTGTAGTTATAGTATCCTTTGTTGTAACCTCCTTGCCCATTGCTCATGTAGCACACCTCAGCAAATTGTGTATCCTCCCCTTCTTGGACTGGTTCCATCTCCTCAGCAGACACAAAGTTGACTTTCTTCATTGTGGACTGAGCTAGGATCAGCTTATCCAACTTCTCATTCAATGCCTTAACATCTTTTCTCAACTTTTCGTCTGACTCGATCGAGTGGTGGGTCGAGCTCCGGTTGGTGCGATCATACTCTTCTCCATAGCTTCCATTTGAGTTAGCTATGTTCTCCACAAGTTGCCAGCCATCATCTACATCCTGGTTGAGGAAGTTCCCATTGCTAGCTGTGTCTAGCATCTCCCTATACCTAGGCAAGCATCCTCTATAAAGAGTGGAGAGTAGGGATTCATTGTTGAATCCATGGTGTGGGCACTGACTTGTGTAGCCTTTGAACCTCTCCCAAGCCTCTGCGAATGTCTCATTGTTTCGCTGGATGAAGCTGGATATCTCTCCTCTAAGCTTGGCTGTGCGACCGGTGGAGAAAAACTTAGCAAGAAAGGCCTTCTTGCATTCATCCCAAGTGGTGATTGTGCCATGGGGCAAGCTCTTCTCCCATTGGTGAGCTTTGTCAGCTAGAGACATAGGAAAGAGTCTCAGCTTGATGGCATCTTCAGAGACACCATTGATCTTTGTCAAATCACAAAGCCTATCAAACTCATCAAGGTGGTCAATGGGGTCTTCACTTGGCAATCCATGGAACATCTTGTTCTGGACAAGGTTGATCATTCCCAGCTTGATCTCAAAGTTGTGGTTCTGCACTGGTGGTGGAACAATCCCTTGTCTCTGTTGGTGGCGGTTTGGAGCATCTCCTTGACCAATCGGTCGAGTTTGCCTAGCTCGACCGAGTCCATTGCCCAAAGGGTTTCCATTCCCCTCTGGTACATCCATTGTATCAGCAACAAGCACCTCAGGTTCCTCTTGTACCCTCTGTGACCTCTGAACCCTCTTTCTACCCGTTGTAAGTCTAGCTCGACCAAGTCTTCAGTTAGACCGACTCGATCGAGTTCGCATACACCTGCAAAAAGAGACAAAAACCCAGCAGTACAATAGAACAGGGGTGGTATAGCTTGATCGTCCAAGTGTGTTTGAAACTCAAATGCAACAAAAATATTCCCAAATCGGCAACGGCGCCAAATTGATGATAGGATTTGTGTGTGGATGTGAAAAGATATGAAATGAGATGAGTGGAATGCAATCAGTGGTATATGATGAGGTGGTAAGATGCAAACACAAACACAGTCAACAATTCCCTTTAACCATGATAGTTGATGTAGTACAAAGGGTTATCAATCCAAAATGGGAAACTTGTCACTCTATGAGAATATGAAACAACCAGAAAGTCAAGCAAGCAGTAAGATTTGAAGTAACACTAACAACCTAAATAAAATGAAAAGCAGTGCAATAAAAGTAAACAAAGCAGTGAAGTGTCAGCTCGACCAAGACTCGAGTCGAGTCAGAGCAAAGTACCAGCTCGATCGAGTTTAGGGACGAGTTGAGACAAACAAAGCTAAAGGTGACGACTTTAACAAGATAAAGAGAGAATTAGGGTTCAAGACAGGGTTTTGCAATCAAAGGAATCTACACTTAATCAATCTAGCTCTTAAAACTCCTTGTATCAAGGCTTCTCTTGATATTGGGCTTCTCAATGCCTAGCCAACCCTTTCCCAAGGTGGAGGCTATCAACCAAGGAATGATCTCAGAAACAGGGGGTTAGCCAGTGAGAATCAAACCTTGGAGGCTATAGGATCATTGCCCAAACTAATCCATCCAACCCCTTAGACCTCTATTGTCTAGAGCAAGAGATATTGGAGCTCTTAGTGGATCTTTTCCAGCGAATGCCATCACTTTCGTGTGGGGAGTCGCCTAAGGACTTACAAGCCAGGGGTAGTGGTCATGTAGCCTTAAGATCTATCCAAAAGAGAGAGAATCTAGATTAAGACCATAAGCTAGAAGGATTAAGCATATGAAACCTCTAATCTATCCCATCTCAAACCCTAATGGGTAACTACTCACTACACATGAATGTAAACACAAGCAAATGCAATAAAAGAGACATCATAAGAAAGAGGAGATGAAATTAAACAACTTTTATTGAAATAAGCAAGTGCAAATACAAGAGAGATTATCCAGGATCTAGGATTCAAGAAGCAAGAGCTTCAAGAACACAAAGATGGGATTAGATCTCTAAAAAGTAAAAGACAATAAATTAAAAGAAACTAAAACAAAAGTAATCTAAAGCTTGGTGGTTTTTTCGTGGCTTAGAGCCTTTAAATACAAAGAGGATTAGGTTTAGGGTCAAAGGAAAGTCAAGGGGGAAGCAACATTTTTCGGGTTTGACTTTGACTTCTCAGCTCGATCGAGTTGAAGCTTGGCCGGTCGAGTTGAGGAACTCGACCGGTTGGTCGAGTAGACGGTCGAGCTGGTCTTCAAGATGGCTTCTCCCTTCTTCCTTTGCGTATCCAGTTGAGCTGCTTCCATGTGCCAAGTCCCTCCATGCTCCTTATGTCCCATATGCTCCAGAATGCTCCAAAAGACCTATTTCAAAGGACCAAACATGCATATGTATGCAAATGCAACCTAAAACTAACATGAATGCATAAGAAGAGAAAAGGAACAAGATATGATGCAAATGGAAAGCTAAAACTATGCAAAAGATGCATAAAAGATGTGCTAAAACTATGTAAAATGCAAGTACATCATCTATCCAAGAGAGATGTACCAAGTGAAGCAACCATTCACATTTTCTCAAGAAACAAATCCAGCCCAAACCGGAGAAAAGGTTGACGTGGCGTTGAAGAAATACATGGAGGAACAGAGATTGATCACCAAGAACCTATATGAGAAGCTTGATCACATGTTTGGTGATCTAAGCAGCAAGTTTGGATCTCTCTCTACTTACGTCCAAAAGCTTGAGGTGCAAATCGCTCAAACAGCCGAGGCGGCCAAGAAACAAAATGAGGTAAACAATCAAAAATTTTGTAGTGTTGTCTCATCTATAGATGGCACGATTGTTCCTACACTATCTCAAGGGGAAGAAGAAGAAAATGAGCCTAAGGACAGGCACAAACCGGAGAGATACAGTTGGGAATCAAGAAGAGCTTACAAGAGAAGGCTTGAAGGCAAGCCACTACAAAGATGATGTGAGAGATGACCATGGCGCGACAACACCACCACAAGATCCACTGAACCGGAGAATGGAGAAGCTAAAGGGATCCTTTGCCCTTCAGCCACTCTTCACCACGATTGAAAGAAAGAGAAGGAGTCAAGCTAAATGACTTAAAACAAAAGCGCTTTATGGGAGGCAACCCATATGGTTTTTAACTATCTATTTCTATTTTGCAGGAGTTTTTCAAAAATCAAACAAAAATACAAAAATATTTTCTTAGGATGAAGACCAAAGGAGACCAAACAATGGAAGTGTCCCACCCAATGAGCCCACCCTTGTACAAGGCGTTTCTCTTCAAAAGGTAAGTAAACTCTCACCTAGTATTCATTTCTAATCACTCTTGATCTTCACTTGAAAAATCGTTTAAACCATTGCACTTTACAAATATATTTCATGGTTTAACTTGATTTACTTTTGATGATTGGAAAGAATACATAATCACTTGTCAAAACTCATTTCGCTCACTGAAATTACAAGAGATTGAACTATAGTTTGAAATTTGGATCATTGACCAAGACCAAATAAGAATTTATAGTTTGTGCTTTAATCTCTTGGATTGTGAACTTCAAGTTGGTCACTTGAGGATCACAATCTGAGAAACCATCTAATCATGATTTCAAGTGTTTTGCAAGGAGTTAACATTTGACAGGAAGGAGAAATAGAGCAAACCTATCAACCACCTCAAAACCAACATGCATATGGCGGCCAAAGGGAGGTTAAAAGGAGATACATAGGCCACAGTGCCGGCCCGACAATCTTAGTGACCTAACACATTTTTTTAAATTGTGGCCTTTTAACAAATTATTAACTAAAAAAAATTAAATTTGATTAATAAATATAATTAATAAAACTGAAATTCGGTTATTAATGCAATTGCTAGGCATCGAACCCATGACCTCATGGGAAAAATGAACTCATTATAACCACTATGCTATAGGGACTAATAATATATGTGGCCCT